CAGTACGCCCTCCCCCCCATTTCCCCATCCCATTACCCCTCACCCCCCTTCCCCATCCCATTTACCCCCATTCTCCCCCCCCATTCCCCTTCAACCCCCCCACCTATTTTTAGGAACGATCCCCTTACCCCTCTTGCTACTCCCCCTCTTACCCCTCTTACCCCTCTACCCCTCTACCCTCTTACCCTCTTACCCCTCTTACCCCTCTTGCTACTCCTCCCCCTCTTACCCCTCTTGCTACTCCCCCTCTTACCCCTTCTTCTGCCCCCCCCCTCAGGATGCGGCGTGAAGAACGTGGCCGCCAGGATTCTCGGAGGATACGTGGCGGGCGTCGGGGAGTGGCCGTGGCAGGCGGCGCTCGTGCACGCCCCGTCAGGAAGGACCTTCTGCGGCGCCTCCTTGCTCAACACCCGCTTCCTCCTCACCGCCGCCCATTGCGCCGCCGTGTGAGTGCTTGTGGTTGGTTGGGTTGTGGGCGTGAGGGTGGGTGTTTTTTTTTTTTTTTTTTTGTTGTGTGTGTGTGTGTGTGTGTGTGTGTGTGTGTGTGTGTGTGTGTGTGTGTGTGTGTGTGTGTGTGTGTGTGTGTGTGTGTGTGTGTGTGTGTGTGTGTGTGTGCGTGTGTGTGTGTGTGTGCGTGCGTGCGTGCGTAGTGAAGGAAAAACTGTGGGTTATTTTCAGGTCTGTGTGTGTGGTGTGTTGTTTGATTTGGTAACCTACGTTTTTAATTTTTTATTTGTCATTGTTGAGTCTCTTACTCCCTCCTTCATTCACCAATATTCGCCCTCCCTCCTCTCTTTTTGTATTCATCATCCCCACCTGTTCCTTTATTTTGTTCTCGTCACCCCATTCCTCTTTCCTCTCCTGGTTCCCGTCATCTTGCCTCTCCTTTCATTCACTTCGTTCCATCCCCCTCCCTTCCCCATCATATACCCTGCCCCAGCCCCCCACCCCCACCTCAGCCCCCCCCCTCTCCCTCTCATCCCCCTCCCCCTCCCCCTCTCCCCCCTCCCCCTCCCCCTCCCCCTCTCATCCCCCTCCCCCTCTCCCCCTCCCCTCGTCCCCCTCCCCCTCTCATCCCCCCCCCTCTCCCCCTCCCCCTCTCATCCCTCCCCCTCTCATCCCCCCTCCCTCTCATCCCCTCCCCCTCCCCCTCTCATCCCCTCCCCCCTCTCACCCTCTCTCCCCCTCCCTCTCATCCCTCATCCCCTCCCTCTCTCGGCATCCCCTCCCCCTCTCATCCCCCTCCCCTTTCCTCCCCTCAGACTCCCCGTCCGGAAGGTGCGGGTCTGGCTCGGCGCCCACGACGTCTCGCTGCAGCAGGAGGAAGGGCGCGTGGTGCGGGGAGTGACCCACGCCATCCTGCACGAGGGCTTCAACTCCCGAGACCTGAGCAACGACGTGGCGCTCCTGAGGCTGGACGAACCGGTGGCCATGTCTCGCACCGTCCGCCCCGTCTGCCTGCCCGACGTCCGTTAGTAGAGGGGCGGGGCTTCCTTGGGCTGTGTTCGGTTTATCGGTTAAGGGATTCCTTATTCCTTAAGCGAGGGTTCCTTGGGCTGTTCGGTTTATGAAATTCCTCTTCGGATGTCTGTGGAACTGGAACAACGAAGGGAAGAACAAGAAAACACACGAATATGCCGAAGGGTCTTTTCGCTATTGCTTCATCAGGGCACACGAAAAGGCGTTCGGCATATTCGTGTGTTTTCTTGTTCTTCCCTTCGTTGTTCCTCTTGCTGTTTGTTTGACATGAATTCCACAGATGTCTTTGGAGTTCGTTTTAAGATGTTTGTTATAGAGTTCATCTGGCCTTATTTATTGAGTTCGTTTTAGATTGTTTCATAAGATGTAGTTAGATTACTTGGCATTTTTTTTCATTCATCACTTGTTAAAACACATGTCTTGTGACGCCAGAGGGCCTTTTCTTTTGTAGATAATAACATTGCGTGTCTGTGATTTTTAGTTGTGTAAAGCATTGAATTCACAATTTGATTCGGTCTTACATATTATTTGATGCTGAAAAAACTGCTTGTTGCTAAAAGATTTTATTGAACGAGAGATATTCAGTATTCTTGTGAGGTCAGAGATTTTCTTTTGTAGATAATAACATGACGTGTCTGTGATTTTTAGTTGTAAAGCAATAAATTCACAATTTGACTCACTACACAGTGCCCACCAGGTGTAGTCTATCATACTACGACTATAATCATACATACATTTATACTTTTTTGTTAATTGAGACGGTTTTAACCTGCCTATTTACGCATATTTATACCAAAAATACAGTTATTGCCTACGCCTGTTAACCCATTAGGACGACCACTTGCTGATTTCCTGTCGTCTTTGCAGAGGAGTGGGACGAGGACATCGCCCAGGGGAAGAGCGACGATGCAGGGGTCGTCACTGGCTGGGGACTCACTGCCGAACGGGGCCAACCTTCGCCACACCTTCTGCAGGTAATTTGTGCTTTATGGCTTCTTCCTCCTTTCTTCTTCTTCTTCTTCTTCTTCTTCTTCTTCTTCTTCTTCTTCTTCTTCTTCTCTCTCTTCTTCTCCTCCTCCTCCTCCTCCTCCTCCTCCTCCTCCTCCTCCTCCTCCTCCTCCTCCTCCTTCTCCTCCTCCTTCTCCTCCTCCTCACCCCTCCCCCCTCCAGCCTCCCCCCTCCAGCCTCCCTCCTCTTTCCTTTCTCCTCCTCTCCTCCTTCCTTCCTCCTCCTTCCTTCTCCTGCCTCCTCCTCCTTTCCTCTCCCTCCTCTTCTCCTCCTCCTCCTCCTCCTCCTTCTCCTCCTCTTCTCCTCCTCCTTCTCCTCCTCCTCCTCCTCCTCCTCCTCCTCCTCCTCCTCCTCCTCCTTTTCCTTCTCCCCCCCTCCTCCTCCTTCTTTCCTCCCCTTCCTCCTTCTTTCCTCTCTTCTTCTTCTTCTTCTTCTTCTTTTCTTTCTTCTTCTTCTTCTTCTTCTCTTCTTCTTCTTCTTCTCTTCTTCTCTTCTTCTTCTTCTTCTTCTCTCCTTCTTCTCCTTCTTCTCCCTTCTTCTTCCTTCTTCTTCTTCTTCTTCTTCTTTTCTTCTTCTTCTTCTTCTTCTCTTCTTCTCTTCTTCTCCTCTCTTCTTCTTCTCCTTCTTCTCCTTCTTCTCCTTCTTCTCCTTCCTCCTTCTCTCTCCTTCTCCTTCTCCTTCTCCTTCTCCTTCTCCTTCTCCTTCTCCTTCTCCTTCTCTTCTCCTTTCTCCTTCTCCTTCCTCCTTCTCCTTCTCCTTCTCCTCCTCCTCCTCCTCCTCCTCCTCTCCTTCTTCTCCTTCTTCTCCTCTCCTCCTCCTCCTACTCCTGCCTTCCTCTTCTTCTCTTCTCCTCCTCCTCCTCCTCCTCCTCCTCCTCCTCCTCCTCCTCCTCCTCCTCCTCCTCCTTCCTCTCTCTCCTCCTCCTCCTCCTCCTCCTCCCCCTCCTCCTCCCTCCTCTGTCTGTCTGTTTATTTCTTTGATATATTCCTCTATCATATAGTTTAGATATTCATTTCGATACGTATTCGTCATTTTATTCCCAAATCATTATTCTAGCACTCCTCCCTTTATTCACGAATCCTCATCTTATCCATTATTCACGAATCCACATTTTATCTATTATTCACGAACCCACATTTTATCCATTATTCACGAACCCACATGTTATCCATTATTCACGAACCCACATTTTATCCATTTTTCACTATCCACCGTTTTATTGGCCATTAATCCCTTCATCCTCCTCCTTCATCAATATCCTCTTAGTCACGTGATCAATCCTCCACCAGGTGAGCCTCCCTTTCCTGAGCGTGGAATCCTGCAAAGAGCGTTACGCGGGAATCAACCCCGTGTCCGCCAACATGCTGTGCACTCTGCATCATTTCAAGGACGGGGTCAGCCGCGACTCGTGTAAAGTGAGCATTTTTACTTAGAAGTTTTTTCGAGTATTTTCTTTTTTTGTAAAGTGAGTATTTTTTTTTTTTTTTTTTTGTAAAGTGAGCATTTTTACTTAGAAGTGTTTTCGAGTATTTTTTTTGTTTCTCCTCCCTCCCATTCTCCCATTTGAAGAGCCACTTGCATTTATGGGACCCCCCCCCCCACACACACACACATATATACACACGAACGTACACACATACACATACATGCGTCTCTTGTATAGTTAGTTCCTTATAGTAATAATTTTTAACAGAGATAATCCAAACAAATGTTCCTATCAACGAACACAAACAAAATTTCTAACAAGAGATCCTCAACTAACCAAACTTTAAAATTTAACGAATATTTAAACGAACATTCTACTCTTTAGGGAGACTCCGGAGGCCCCCTGGTGACGGAAGGGGAGAACGGCCGCTGGACCCAAGTCGGAGTCGTGAGTTTCGGCTACGGATGCGGACGACGCGGCTACCCGGGGGTCTATACCCGGGTCACGCAATACCTCCTCTGGATCTACCTCAAGATCGTGCAGATGGAAATATCGCTGTTGTGATGAGAGGAGGATTGATGCTGCGAAATAGGGTGTTTTGGTGGGCTTTGTATGAACTTTTTAAATTGATTTGTATTTTTTTTTTTTTTTTTTTTGGTTCGGCGGGCTGGATCTGTCGATTGTCAGGATTGCAACCTGTAAAAATTATTTGTCCGAGTGGGTGTTCCTGGCTACGGGCTCCTTGCTGATTTTACTTCTTTCATAGACACGTCCATTTCATACACAAAACTTGATATACATGCATACATACACATACGTATACGTACATACACAAGTATATCTAGGTGCTCATTTAAATATGCAAACACGTACATACACAAGTATATATACGTGCACACACAAATATGCATACTTATACATAAGTATACGTGTATGCACGCACACACATACAAGTATAGACACAAGTATGCAAACAACGCACACACACAAGTATACATACATATATAGGCAAACAATAAATACCTGGCTAACTATATAGATGGACATTAATATATGTACATATATGCATGCATACACATACTTGTGTACATACAACTTACGCACTTGCAAATACACCCGTAACTCAGCCACACACATTCACTTTTTTGTTGTAAAATTAATTATAAATTTTGAACTAGTCTGTGACGCTGACTGAACCGATCTTTAAATCTGGTTTTGTAATGATTCAGAATGTGTAAGAAATTTAGCACTTGTTTTCATGTGAAATGTTACGGAGATTAAGGAATTTATTTGTTGATGTTTCTCTTCATGATTATAATGACTGAGCCACAACTGGACATATGGCTTGTTTTGTCTTGTGTCTTTTACTTGTTTTACTTGAATTTCATCTTTTATTTGTTAATGTTTGGCGTGTTTTTAACATTTCGTTATGTCAAAGCTCTGTGATACGACTGTGAATGAAACTTTTTTTTTTACAAATAAAATGTGCAATTGTGTGATTTGACTTTATTCTGTGGTAAGGGCGTTGGAGGAAGAGAAAGGAAAGAAGGAAGAGGAGGGAGGTAAGGAAGAGAATACTATATATATTTCTGTCGCTAATTAAACCAGGATGAGGATGAGGGCGAGGGAAGAGGGAGAAGGAAAGGAAGCGGAGAAGGAGGAGAGAGGAGAGGAAAGGAAGAGGAGGAGGAAAGGAGGAAGAGAGAGAGAGGAGAGGAAAAGGAGGAGGAGAGAGGAGAGGAAGAGGAAGAGGAGGAGGAGGAGGGAGAGGAGGAAGAGGAAGGAGAGAGGAGAGGAGGAGGAGAGGAGAGAGGAGAGGAAAGAGGAGGAGGAGGAGAGAGGAGAGGAAAGGAAGAGGAGGAGAGGAGGAGGAGAGGAGGAGGAGGAGAGGAAAGGAAAGGAGGAGGAAGAGGAGAGGAAAGGAAAGGAAAGGTAGAGAGGGAGGAGGAGGAGGAGGAGAGGAAAGGAAAGGAAGAGGAGGAGGAGAGAGGAAAGGAAAGGAAGGAGAGAGGGAGAAAGGAAGAAGAGGAGGAGAGAGGAGAGGAAAGGAAAAAGGAGGAGGGGAGAGAGGAGAGGAAAGGAAGAGGAGAGGAGGAGAAGAGGAGAAGGAAAAGGAGAGAGGAGGAGGAGAGGAAAGAAGGGAGGAGGAGGAGAGAAGAGGAAGAGGAGGAGAGAGGAGAGGAAAGGAAAGGAGAGAGGAGAGGAAAGGAAAGGAGAGAGGAGGAGAAGAGGAAAGGGAAAGGAGAGGAGGAGAGGAGAGAGAAAGAAAGGAAAGAAGAGGAGGAGGAGGAGAGAGGAAAGGAAAGGAGGAGGAGAGGAGAGAGGAGGAGGAAAGGAAGGAGGAGAGAGGAAGAGGAGAGGAGAGAGGAGAGAAAGGAAGAGGAGAGGAGAGGAGGAGAGGAAAGGGAGGGAGGAGGAGAGAGAGAGGAGGGAGGAGGAGAGGAGAGGAAGGAAAGGAAGAGGAGGAGGGGAGAGAGGAAGAGAAAGGAAGAGGAGGAGGAGGAGAGAGGAGAGGAAAGGAAGAGGAGGAGGAGGAGAGAGGAGAGGAAAGGAAGAGGAGGAGGAGGAGAGAGGAGAGGAAAGAGAGGAGCAGGAGAGAGGAGAGGAAAGGAAGAGGAGAAGGAGGAGGAGAGAGGAAGGAAAGGAAGAGGAGGAGGAGGAGAGGAGGAGAGGAGGAGAGGAAGAGGAGGAGGAGGAGAGAGGAGAGGAAGAGAAGGAGGAGGGAGGAAGGAGAGAGAGGAAGAAGGAGAGGAGAGGAGGAGAGAGGAGAGGAAAGGAAGAGAGGAGAGAGAGGAGAGAAAGGAAGAGGAGGAGGAGAGGAAAGGAAGAGAAGGAGGGAAGGAGGAAGAGGAAAGGAAGAGAGGAGGAGAGAGAGGAAGGAAAGGAAGAGGAGGAGAGGAGAGGAGAGGAAAGAGAGGAGGAGAGAAGAAGGAAAGGAGGAGAGAGAGGAGAAGAAGGAAGAGGAGAGAGGAGAGGAAAGGAAGGAGGAAGAGAGAAAGGAAAAGGAAGAGGAGGAGAGGAAGAAAGGAAGAGGAGAGGAGGAGAGAGGAGAGGAAAGGAGAGGAGGAGAGAGGGAAGAAAGAGGAGGAGAGAGGAGAGAGGAGAGGAAAGCAAGAGGAGGAGAGAGGAGAGGAAAGAAGAGGAGGAGAGAGGAGAGAAAGGAGGAGGAGGAGAGGAGAGGAAAGGAGGAGAAAGAGATGAGAAGGAAGGAAAAGGAGGAGGAGAGAGGAGGGGAAAGCAAGAAGAGAGAGGAGAGGAAAGGAAGAGGAGGAGAGAGGAGAGGAAAGGAAGAGGAGGAGAGAGGAGAGGAAAGGAAGAGGAGGAGGAGGAGGAGGAGGAGGAGGAGGAGGAGGGAAAGGAGAGGAAGGAGGAGGAGGAGGAGAGAGGAGGAGGAAAGGAAGAGGAGAGAGAGAGAAAGGAGAGGGAAGGGAGAGAGAGGAAGGAAAAGAAAGAGGAGGAAGGAGGAGAGGAGAGGAAAGAGGAGGAGAAGAGAGGAAAGGAAGGAAGAGGAGGAGGAGAGAGGGAGGAAGAGGAGGAGAGAGGAGAGGAAAGGAAGGGAGGAGAGAGAGAGGAAAGGAAGAGGAAGAGGAGGAGGAGGGAGGGGAAAGGAAAGGAAGAAGAGGAGGAAAGGACAAGAAAGAATGAGGAAGAAGAAAGGAGGAGGAGAGGGAGAGAAAAGGATAAGGATGAGGAACAGGGAGAGGAAAGGATGATGATGAGTAGGAGGAAGAAGAAGAGGCGGATGAAGATAGGAAAGGAGGAGGAGGAGGAGAGGAAACGATTGAGGAGGATGGGAGGGGGAGAGAAGGAAAGGAAAGGAAAAGGAGGAGGGAGAGGGAGAGGAAAGAGGAGGAGGAAGGAAAGGAGAGAGGAGAGGAAAGAGGGGAAGGAAAGGAGGAGGAGGAGGTAGGAAAAAGGAGGAGGAGGAGGAAGAAGCGGAGGGAAAGGAGGAGGAGGGAAAGGAAAGGAGGAGGAGGAGGGAGAGGAAAGGAGAAGGAGGAAGAGGGAGAGGGAGACGAAAGGACAAGGAAGGAGAGAGAGAGGAAAGGAGGAGGAAGAGAATGAGGAGAGCAAGAAGAGGAAAAGGAGGAGTAAGGAGAGGAAAGGATGAGGAGGAGGGAGAGGAAGAGGAGGGAGAGGGAGAGGAAAGGAGGAGAGTACTTACCCTGCAACAATATAACAATTTCAAAACTTTATTAAAGAGGAAAGTAAAACCAAATCTTGAGTAGTAAGTTTCTAATTGTATAAAAATAAAGTTTTGAGGAAATTAAATTTCAAAAGACAATAACACTTGGCTTTCGCTTCCTTGTTTCTAGATTTTCTCAATGATAATCTGAAATAAGAAAAAAATAATAAATAACGCAGAACACAAAGTCACGTAACATGAGAAGATTCTTAATATAGAATAAAAATTTACATCTTTTTTTTTAATCTGACGTCTGACTGTGGACACAATTTTAACAGTATTTAAAATATGCATTACACCTATTCATGAATTATTAAATGATTATTCCCTTCCATTAGTATGAAATAATTATACATTTACCTGGAATACAACATGCAGAGTAAGCTCCCAAATGACTCTCTACACATATTATAAACCAAATAAAAAATGACTCACTTCATATATAAAGATACATTTAATTTCATGATCAAACAAAGACTTAACAACCACCAAATTAACAAATAACAAATTAACAGACTAAAAAACAAACAACCTGGGATCGTCTCTGAAGATTTATAATATGTGCAGAGTTTCAAAATCTGTAATCTGTAAGCCATGATCTTCTATTGCAGCAATCGGCTTTTGAAATGAAAATAGATGTATTACATTTTTGGGGGTGACCGACCACCTTGATGAATAGTGTCATATCTGTTTGACCTGCAATCTCATAATAGGAATAAATAAATTATTCTGTTTTTATGATAATAATGATAATGATAATGGTACTGATGATAAAAAAATAATAAATAATATCAATGATGATGATAATAATAAAATTTATGATAACAATAATAATAATAATAATAATAATAACAATAATAATAATAATAATAATAATAATAATAATAATAATAATAAAATAATAATAATAATAATCATGATCTTTTATCTACTTTTTGAAAGGGGGGGGCATTTTGATTCTATTATGAACTTTTGTGACATATTTTCTTCTAATTGAGGAATAAAGATATTGTGCACAAAACAGTAATTTGAAATATAATACAAGTTAACCTATTCAAGGAAATCATCTGGTTGTTATACTTCCACTTTCTGTTCATCTCTTAAAAGTAATCCTCAAACATTTATTACATTAAAAACCGTATATATATTAAGATTCTTACAAGACTAGTACAAAATGCAAAAAGTTGAGGGTTGTGTTCGAAAGTACTGACAATAAATCTGGCTCATGCAGCGTTCTGGCCATTAACCCCACGGACGCAGATGGCAAGATTGCATGCTGTGTCCACGTCATTTTAGTTTAGCACTCGTGGCTACACAAAGATGGCTCCACGTGTTTAGTCACCAAGGAGCCTTTTACTTGTTTAGCTTCTACCTTGATTTCTGGAAAGATTCTTTTATAGTATTTTACTAATCTTATTGTTATTAGTATTTTAATAACATTATATTAAACATCACATCAATAACAGTAATGATAGTATTGCTATTAATAGCAGTATGGAGAAAGAAAGAAAAAGAAAATAAGAGAAAAGAAAAGAAGGAAAATAAAGAAAAAAGAAAGAAAGAAAAAGAAAATAAAAGAAAGAAGAAGAGAGAGAAGAGAGAGAGAGAGAGAGAGAGAGAGAGAGAGAGAGAGAGAGAGAGAGAGAGAGAGAGAGAGAGAGAGAGAGAGAGAGAGAGAGAGAGAGAGAGAGAGAGAGAGAGAGAGAGAGAGAGAGAGAGAGAGAGAGAGAGAGAGAGAGAGAAGAGAGAGAGAGAGAGAGAGAGAGAGAGAGAGAGAGAGAGAGAGAGAGAAAAAAAAAAAAAAAAAAAAAAAAAAAAAAAGGGCAAATTCAAGGAATGAGGAGATCAGGCGCAGTCTTATGGACTTACTAATGGACTCCTTGGTGGCTGAGCACTCCTGGAGCCACCTGTGTGCAACAATATTCACGAAAGACTACAGTGGTCAGTACACAAACCCCGCAGCCTTTGGGTTAAGTGAGCCATTTACACAGAGACATTATCATTATCATCTTTTTTTGTGTGTGTATATGTATACTCTTTGGTGTGACCATCCAATCAACCACTGGGAATCAAATTTAATTGCAACAATATTAAAGCTCAATTGATAGACATTCCAAGATTCAATAAGCTATGCATTACAGCACCTACTTAATATGACGAAGAGTTTAGAAACTTAACACTAAGCATTACCATAAACCACTACATCTATAAAAACACATACCATACAATAGCCCCATTGGTCAGGAGTCTCTAAAATAAGCAAATTCATTAGTTCATAACAACAATAATCAGAAGAGATGTGATACCAAAAATACTGTCAAATGAACCATGGTACCATATCATTTTGGTATATATCCTTAGTAAAGAATAGTGCAAGATATCAACACCAGCAACAGAGATCGTTTTTCTTAATGCACATTAAAAATTTATATATTTTGAACTTAACAGACAAAAGTAAATACTACATTACATTTTTTTCAAACATACATGAACATTCACCTTAATCTATATGGAATTCCTATGCTTTTATGCACACGTCAAAAAATATAGTTTGATTGTTATTTTCTTTTTTCTTTTTTCATCATCAAAGATTTTACATGTATATTCCTGGCAATTTTGGTTTGTTAGTACAACTACTGAAGCAGTAACAAGCAATAATATTTACAAACCCGACTGCTCCACTTAAAGACATCTTAAATATTAGAAAGAGAACTTTAGTCTATTACAATAACCCATAGAACAAATGCCCATAACCTTTGATAGAACATATAGAACATCTGAGGAACACCGAAGCAAAACCCTACACTACATGGACAGAGTCGGTAATACATTGCTGAAGTTAAACTATTCATACTAGAAGTTACAGTGAAAATCATATGGAAGTTCTATACAACACCAAGATTTAAGTGTAAAATGGACAGCAAAGCCAAAATATGCCACTGGCTAAAATGAAGGGAGATGAAGTGTGTTTGGCACCAAATCTAGCATTACCAATGAGTAGATTCCTGCTAATTAACAGGACATGTAATCTTTTCAACATGATATAATGCAAACACAAGAGAAAGAAAAAAAAGTAAAATAATAATAATAATAAATATCAAGACACATTTGAAAGAATTTAGAAAGAAATGATCTTTGATAAAACAAGAAAAAGAAAAATGAATTCAAGGTGCTTTATAGTGGTTACTTTGTTCCAGTTCCTGCCTGTCTTAAGCAAAATACTTATTATCACATGCATTATACATGCTATACCTATCGTAAGACCCTACTACAGCATGGCATGATATAAAGTTATCTTACCATTTGAGAAGCAGAATAAAAATAATGAAGAAACAGACATCGCTTTAGTTCAGCCTATTTACAATACTAAAGCTGAAAGTTTAAAACATCTGTTACAGAGCCCCATGGCAGACTGAAGAACATCACATACTATGCTTTGGTATTAACTAAAGATACAGGTTCTTGACGACAGAGCAGGTGAGAGAGAAGATCACAAATGCCTAGCTGACAGGGAGGAGGAACTACACAGCTGTATGACACAATGAAATGCAGCAGTGTCTAACTTCCTTTTGCGTTTGACTTTTTTCTTCTTTGCAGGCATTACACGGTTTGTGTCCTGTGATTGAACTGTGTGTTGGCAATAGAGGAGCAAAAGTTATGTCTCATGAAGTGGTCAAATGAAAAACACATGTAAACCAGCCAATGCCAAAGTAAATGCAACAACAATATCTAAATTCATACTAGAATTATTACCATTTTTAAATGTGCAAGCATTATGTACTGCCCCTAATATCATTACAAAATTGTTGACTAATGCTACTTTTTTTGGCAAGCTGTACAGTTATTTTTACATAGTTCTACTAACATTCATGGATTAGAAATTAAAGTCATCCATAGAAGTACTGTAGACAAAGAGCATGTTCCTCTTTTCCAATAAAATTCTTGCTATGTTTTTTTCTATGTTTCTGAAAGAGGTTTAATAAGACTTGCTGCAAGCTGTGTGTGGCATCAATCACATAGCACAGGATTCAGGCAACTTCCTCAAAAGAGGAGTTACATTGTAAGCATGAAAGCTCTTGCTTTACTTAACCAAACAGAATGAGGTTCCTGGTGAACTAACATGAAACTGTCCTGCCAACATAGGCTACATCTAAGAGGATTTTGCAGCAGATAGATGCATAAATATGTACATCCAGCATAATGCATTACCATATGCAATACAGCTTTGGTCATGAGGGTAAATAATAAAACAAAAATAAAAACAACAAAAGAAAAGAAATGAAAAAGAAAAAAATAGCAGCTTCTACCCATTGTATTGGTAAGTGCAAATCACCATAAAAAGCAAATATTGTTCAATACATCTTTTTTTTGCTTTGTTTTTTGGTTCTCTATTTAGTGTTTTGTGGCAAAGCTCCAAGGAAGGTGCGACTCAGAGCTAGTGACCTTACGCTGTGGAGTGATTCGGTTAGTTGGAGCCTGTGACAGTGCGTCCAGAGAGCTCATATTAATGTTAGGGAGGTTAAGCCTGGTCATTAAAGGGTTCAGTTCGCTCTCATCATTGGCTACAGTTACCTGCTCCCACTGCCGACTGGCTGAAGAAAGCTTGATGGCATCGATGACTGCCTGGACATACTGGCCATCCTCGAAGGTGGCTGCAGTCGAGACAGGCTCCTTGAGCCAACCATGCTCCCCATCCCCTGTGGCAAAGGCCTCCTTGAGTGCACCTGCCAGACGAAACAGGCCCTGCAGGTATGGCTGAGGCAGTAGAGAGTTTATCCTGGCACTGTTGTTTTTGTTGGTGAGATGTGCCACATCATCGGCTCCTTCATGCAGCAGCTCCTCCTCTTTCTCCGAGGTGTGGCTCTGGCCGTAGAGGTTAGCCCCACGCACAGCCAGCCTGCCTCTGCTTCCACACACCACTACCTCCTGTACGAAGCCCCCTGCCATGTGGCTGTTTAGCGTGGCTGTCACACAGGCCCCTTCATCTAGGATCATCTGGAAGCTACAGAAGTCATCACTATCAATCCAACGGATACCATTAATCTTCTCCGTGCTCTTGGTAAAGGTGCGCATCATGCCATGGACACGAGTGGCACGCTGGCTTGTCACGAAGGAGATCACATCAATGATGTGGCTGCCCACCATGGTCAGGATGCCCCCTCCCATCAGATGGCTGCACATCCAATCAAACTGGTTGCCAATCATGCTACCACAGTGCACTCTCACGTCACACACGTTCACTGTCCCAACGTAGCCTGCCTCAATCTGTCGCTTCATGTGCACAAAGGCTGGGAGGAAGCGCAAGCCATGTGAGATCACTGAGATCAGCGAGGGATAGTACTGTGCCGCATGCACCATCTTCAGCACCTCCAGCTGTGGACAGATTGCATACAAAATTTACAAGATTTGTTTTGTATATGAGTACTATGCTCTGTGAATTCACATATTACAAACATCACAACAATGCATATAGCAAAGAGAAGATATCAAACAAATGGTGTATTAAAATAGAAGATCCTAAAATTAAATAGAGGTTATATTCAATTACAACTTCATGGAGTGATTTCAAGAAGACTAAAAGAAGTGATTAGACTATCAAACTCTTCGTGCATAAATACAACAGGTATCAAATCTTATGCAAAATCACATAAAACACCACCTATTTGGAAAATTCGGGAAAAAGAAAAAATATCAGGTAAGTGTGAAAAATTGAATTCCTTACAATTGCAAATTCATAGTTACATGAAAGATTATTTCACACATGCATAACTCCACTCACTCATAAGACTCATTGCTAACTACGGGCACTTTTAGGTAGCACACTCCATACCTGACAGAGACCAGCTGGCCGGTCACACAGGACATGTTTGCCGATTCCCAAGGCTTTGACTGCTATCTGGGCATGCAAGTCTGGCTGGCAGATGATGAAAACGAGATCCACATCCTTTCTGAGAAGAACGTCGTCAACCTGTTTTGGAGTACGCAGATGGGCACACTTTACCTTCATCATTATCATTACTAATTATAACAATGCAAGGCTAAATTTGCAGTGATAATACTATAAATATACATCTATAGCCCCTTTTCTACAGTATCTACATGCTAATCTAATCACAGTAGCTTTTCTTGCTTCTACTAATAATACAAGTAAAAACTGGGAAAGACAAAATTTCCAAAAATACATACTTGTATTTAATGTATCTGAAAACAAGGATCACTCGGACTATTTCCAGGTTCTTAAGAACTATTTATCATTTGTAAATGATACTTTTAAAGTTTTTCAAGGATTCTCTAGAAGAATCTACAGAGTTACATCTTCTGGAACCCTCCAGTAAACTTTGGCACGGACCATCTTTGACTAAGCCTACGTGACACCAATGATACTGACAGATTCAAATGATTATTTGTCAACATCAATGTGTAAAGCCCAAAAGCGTGCAGCAATTTTGACCCTCACAGACAGATTCTCTGCTGTAGGATATATTTAGTTTTTATTTACTTGAGGAACCAGTCGAAGCACCCAATCATCTAGAACTCAGAACAAATATCAACCAGTTGGGTTGCATTATGGGTATGACAATTATATGAGTGAGGAAGTTTGCTGGGGCTATATAATGCCCCCCATAACTGCAACAAAATTTATTATAATACAAAAAAAATATTATGTAGAGTTCATTTGACAAATCTGTCCTTTTCTGTATTTTGCTATTACCTTGGCCAACCAAATAGGTTATTCAAATTAAATCAATCTTATAATTCTATTACACAAGGGGTCAGAAACTGGTGGGCCTTTTTCCTGTCCTTTTTTGCTGAGAAATTTTATATACAATGATCACTACTAAATCTAGTGCTCCATGGACCAGCTACCTCCACATAAACCCTCCATCTTTTCCTCTATTTTCCCTCCACATTACATATGATTATGTGTTACATAGGCACCTCCTGGTATTTTATTCTCTTTCTTACTATCTATGCAGAGTGTTTATATGATGAATCTTTGTTTAATTGCTTTACATGTGTGTTATCTACATGTTCTATATACTCTATTCTCACTATTGCTCATACATAAAAGGTAATATATTATAATTAATTTCATGAACACCTATTATATATTATGTACTGGATATATGATAATGAAATATACATTTTCTAGTATGAACATACTAAATACTAAAGACCAATAATTGCCTTGGTAAAATATGAAACGTCAAACATTACTCACAAATGAGGGCGGACAAGCTGGAGGTTCTAAAATTCTAGTGTTAACCAATGAAAACAAGGAGACAATTGATGAAAAGTAGGCCATTCCACTTCATTTTGAACAGAACTGAAGACTTCTTTCCTTTATATTTGCCAGAGATAACAAAAAACTATTATATTTTCTAGATTAGACACTGAAAGAAACTGAATTTGTAGTGCTTACAAAAGAAAAGAAAAGAGAAGAGAAGAGAAGAGAAGAGAAGAGAGGAGAGGAGAGGAGAGGAGAGGAGAGGAGAGGAGAGGAGAGGAGAGGAGAGGAGAGGAGAGGAGAGGAGGAGGAGAAGAGGAGAGAGGAGAGGGAGAGGAGAGGAGAGAGAGGAGAGAGAGGAGAGGAGAGAGAGAGAGGAGAGAGAGAAGAGAGGAGAGAGAGAGGAGAGGAAAGAGAAGAGAGAGAAGAGAAGAGAAGAGAAGAGAAGAGAAAGAGAAGAGAAAGAAAGAAAGAGAAGAAGAGAAGAGAAGAGAAGAGAAGAGAAGAGAAGAGAAGAGAAGAGAAGAGAAGAGAAGAAGAGAAGAGAAGAGAAGAGAAGAGAAGAGAAGAGAAAAAGAGAGAGAAGAAAGAAAAGAAAAGAGAAAAGAAAAGAAAGAAAAGAAAGAAAAGAAAAGAAAAGAAAAAGAAGAAAGAGAAGAGAAGAGAAGAGAAAGAAGAGAGAGAGAAGAAGAGAGAGAGAGAGAGAAGAGAGAGAGAGAGAGAAGAGAGAGAGAGAGAGAGAGAGACAGACAGACAGACAGACAGACAGACAGACAGACAGACAGAACAGACAGACAGACAGACAGACAGACAGACAGACAGACAGACAGACAGACAGACAGAGACAGACAGACAGACAGAGAACAAAAATTAAAGTAAGACAGAAAAAAATAAATATTACATAAATAATCACATTAACAAATTGCCCCCAACATCTCCCTGTAAATAATGTAAAGACAAACCACACACCTTATTTGTATGGAAAGGAATATTGAGTTCGGTGGCCACATTTTCGGCAGCTTCAAGTGTCCTGCCCCACACAGCCTCGACACGGAAGCCCTTAGCCCTGAGAAAGGGCACAAGGGCACGCACGATGTCCCCTGTGCCAAAGACTCCAATGCCCGGCAGCATGACGCTCAGTCTGGAGTAAAATACGAGTTTAAAGAATTAAAGCTTAATGGTTAATGGTTGTAACAAATAAATGTGCTAGACATCAAAGGTCATATAGCACAATGGTAAAATATTGTGGTGAAAAGGGTAAAAATGAGTTAATGATTAGGATAAAATGTGTTAAACATCAAGGGTTATAGAGAGTTGTAGGACAGTATGATAGAAAAAAGGGTAAAAAGGGGGTGCAAATGAAGTAAATTGGAGACCAGTAAAAGAAAGGGCGACACTCGCGTATTCAAACGTATATTTTTGAACTGCATTATAATCTCAACAGAAATAAAGGATATATGTTGCCGACTCTCTCTTTCTTAGTGTTATTATTATCTTTCTTTTTTTTTCAAAAAGAAAAAAAAAGGCATTTTAATAATAAAAGAAAGGTGTAGCATCAAGATTATCAGTAATTTTTTTTATGATCATCAGACTATTATACTCTTACGACTACAAATTCTTATTCAAACAGCAGGAAAATAATACCTTAGACCTGGATCACCTATTACCCTCGATAGCATGCCTACACACAATCAAAAGGGCAGTAATGATAAACAAGAATTTAATTCTACAGTCAGATAAGGTGCCTGAAACCCTGCCCTGAAACGAAGGTGCACTGACAGCCACCTAACACTGAGCCACTCATAAGCTAGACTTTACATCATAGGTCATTTGAAACATGCTGTACCAGGTTTCCAGTTGAGTGGAACACATCACCACCAATTAAAGAAAGAAAGAAAAAAAGGAAGTGACAATGAGTACAGCAAAAATGCCCCTGGTGATTGCACTGCATGGTGAAACAAACAAAATGGCAGCATCTTGGCCGAAGATAATACCACTCTCAATTAGGCTAGGTTAAGTTAGGGTTGTTCATAATTATTACCCTGAAAAGGTGTTTATATGTGCATACGCATTTATGTGCAGCATTTATTATTTATTCATAGAAAATTTTCTGCCACCTCAACATCTAAGGTCACTGGCAGTATATACAAAATAGGTCGGGGTAACAAAAGGTAATACAGCATTATGAAAGTATTGCTGCAAAAAGGTTAAGATTAAGTTTACAATTAAGACAAAATATGTTAGATGTCAAAGGTTATAGAGCACTGTTAGTCAGCAAATGGAATGTGGAGGTTGTTCAGGATTGACAAAGCTAGTCTTTTATCCTTTTGGCAAGACTTTCATACTTTAAGATGTGGACAGAAGAAGGGGATGAAGAAAAGAAAGAAAAGGAAAGGAGAAGAAAAGACCATACAAAAATAGATGGTGAGGGCTGAGGTCCAAGGCACGGATGATCCCCTAAATCGGGCCTCAGTCTCCGTCTTCTAAGGCCCCCCATGACAGCAACAAGCATGGAAATGGGGGGTATATGTGCCATACACCTAACCACAAATAAACGGATACACTTCTTCTTTATCCGAACCACCAGCCCCCCCCCCCCCACACACACACACCAAAAAAAACAAAAAAGTAAGAGAAAAAAATATCCCATTTGTGGAGCCTCTACCTTATGTCTTACATTTCCTAGGTTATTATAAACCCTAATTAATGCATAAACTTCAACCCACGGTCTATAGTATCTCCATCAAGTTTATAAACACTAGGAAAACCTATTTGAGAAAATACTACGATTTCACAGCCATAAGAAAAGAAAAGAAAAATACATCCCAGTTATTAATGACATAAACAAATGAAATTACAATAAAATCAATCATTCTCACATCATGGACTTGGAGATGAAACACACAATCCTCTCCTAAATAAAGGAAAAGGCACAAAAAACGACAAATAACTTACACAGGAACACGAAAGTAAAATTTAGCGACATGAAGGAGAGGTTTTGTTTGTTGACTTCTGGAGCATTCGAGTTTGGGCGGAAAAGCAAAAAACAACAAAAAAGTGAAAATCTGTGGAATCTGTGTATATATGGATAAATTTTGTGATGTGATTCATTCTTTATTTGGTTATCTGTAGTATATACTGTAAAAACGAGCTTTTTCAAGCCACCGGGAGGTCGAGAAAAAAATAATATGAAATGCGTTTTTTTTTTTTCTTTTTTGAGGGGGGCAAAATATCCTTGATTTATTTAATTGAAGGAGAGAGTGTCATCATCTAAATATGCTGCTGTGTACAGTTCGTTTCGAACAGATACTGAAAGAGGATTTGTTTGTGTGCTTACGCAACGCATTCACACACACACACACACACACACACACACACACACACACACACACACACACACACACACAACCACCACACACACACACACACACACACACACACACACACACACACACACACACACACACACACACACACACACACACACACACACACACACACACACACACACACACACACACACACACACACACACACATACTCATATATATATATATATATATATATATATATATATATATATATATATATATATATATACATATACATATATACACACACACTATTTACTTTGATATTCTCCATTCATTCGACCAATTTATTAGTTTTAATGTTCTTTATTCCATCTGCATCCATTGTCTGATTTTGGAGAACGCAATTTAGATAATTTTTGATTCCTGTGAGATTTTATGACCAAAACTCTTTTTTCAGATATTCAAATATTTTCTGGATGTGTGTTTTAGGGTGTCTTCGCCATAAGAGAACACATATGTAGATGGTGAAAGACAAGACATTTCCCTTGGTTAGGTGCAACCAAAGCTTACTTGGTGAGCTTACCCTAATTGTAAACCCTAAATTTTCCTCATTTTTTATTTTCTTTTTCTCCTTCTTCTGGCTGTATATCAATAATACATGACATAAATAAATATAATGTAAATACTGTTAAAGTGATCAGGATGCCGCATCAACAACATAGATATTAACAACATTAGAAAAAAATGCCAAAAAAGTAAAGGAAAGGGGGGGATTAAGCTAACTTATCTCATTATTATTAATACTTCAAATTTCATTCAATTAACAAGTTTAGCATATGAACTCAAAAAGTCAAATTCGATATAAAATAACAACTTACAGAGATCAATAAATTTTTCTCTTAATATTTCGATTGTTATCCATCAAATGGATTTCGTTTTCTTTCTTAACGTTCCATTCTCTCTGTTGGATGGTAGACTTAAAATATTTAAGTAATTATGCTCATTCAATATCTAACCAATATCTACCTGTTATTTGGAAGTTTAATATATACTGCAGGATACTGTGACGTAAGAATTTCATCTATAGTAAATCTACAAAAGAGAAATATGGATATAATGTCGGATTATTGGATATCCGGATGGATAGATAGATGTAGATGCATACAAAAGAGACGAATATATGTAAGTATATACCGATAGATGGATAAATAAATAAATGAATATAGTGTTGTATGTATGAATGAATAGGCAAATGGTTAGATACAGTGGATAGACAGATGTTTATTCGTGGATGTATGGGCTAATCTAGAATGGATATGTGGATAGATTCTGGACCCACAGTGCCTCTAAAATTTGGGG